GATCCAGGAAAACTTTTAACTATCAAATTCTTCATTGTGAGTTATTTCTCACAATACACACAGACATATTCACAGAGCTTGTCTTTACTCTTAATACTGTATGGTTCTTCTATCAACAGAAAATTGGATTAAAGGTTTACTAAGCATGGCCCCGCCCATTAGAATAAGACCCAGTTTCCCCTGAAGTCAGTCTCTCTCATCAGGAAGCTTCCATAAACCTCTTCTCCGTATCCATCAGAGGTCAGACAGAATGAAAACCATAATCACACAAAACTAACCAAACTGATCACATGGACCACAGCCTTGTCTAACTCAGTGAAACTATGAGCCATGCCATGTAGGGATACCCAAGACAGATGGGTCAGAGTGGAGAGTTCTGACAAAACATGGTCCACTGGAGAAGGGAATGGCAAACTGCTTCAGTATTCTTGCCTTGAGGACCCTGTGAACAGTATGAAAAGACAAAAAAAATAGGACATTGAAAGATGAACTCCCCAGGTCGGTAGGTGCCCCATAAGCTACTGGAGAAGAGTGGAGAATTAAGTTCAGAAAGAATGAAGAGACGGAGCCAAAGCGAAAACAATATCCAGTTGGGGATATGACTGCTGATGAAAGTCAAGTCCGATGCTGTAAAGAACAATGTTACATAGGAACCTGGAATGTTAGGTCCATGAATCAAGGTAAATTAGAAGTGATCAAACAGGAGATGGCAAGAGTGAGCATTGACATTTTAGGAATCAGTGAACTAAAATGGACAGGAATGGGTGAATTTAATTCAGATGACTGTGGTCAAGAATCCCTTTGAAGAAATGGAGTGCCCTCATAGAAAACAAGAGTCTGAAACACAGTACTTGGGTTCAAAATCTCAAAAACGACAGAATGATCTCTGTTTGTTTCCAAGGCAGACCATTCAGCATCACAGTAATCCAAGTCTATGCCTCAACCGCAAATGTTGAAGAAGCTGAAGTTGAAAGGTTCTGTGAAGACCTATGAGACCTTCTAGAACTAAGGCCAAAAAATGATGTCCTTTTCATCATAGGGGACTGGAATGCAAAAGTAGGAAGTCAGGAGATACTTGGAATAACAGGCAGGTTTGGTCTTGGAGTAAAAATAAAGCAGGGCGAAGGCTAACAGAATTTTACCAAGAAAAGGCACTGGTCATAGCAAACACCCTCTTCCAACAACACAAGAGAAGACTCTACACATGGTTATCACCAGATGGTCAAAACTAAAATCAAGTTGATCATATTCTTTGCAGGCAAAGATGGAAAAGCTCTATAGAATCAGCAAAAACAAGACCCGGAGCTGACGAAGCTCAGATCATGAACTCTTTATTGCAAAATTCAGACTTAAATTGAAGAAAGTAGGGAAAACCACTAGACCATTCAGGTATGACCTAAATCAAATCGCTTATGATTATACAGCGGAAGTGAGAAATAGATTCAAGGGATTACAACTGATAGAGTGCATGAAGAATTGTGGATGGAGATTCATGACATTGTACAGGAGGCAGGGATCAACACCATCTCGAAGAAGAAGAAATGCAAAAAGACAAAATGGTTGTCTGAGGATGCCTCACAAATAGCTGAGAAGAAGAGAAGCTAAAGGCAAAGAGGAAAAGGAAAGATAAACCTGTCTGAATGCAGAGTTCCAAAGAATAGCAAGGAGAGAAATGAAAGCCTTCCTCAGTGATCAGTGCAAAGAAATACAGGAAAACAATAGAATGGGAAAGACTAGAGATCTCTTCAAGAAAATTAGATATAAGGGAACATTTCATGCAAAAATGGGCCCAATAAAGGACAGTAACGGTATGGACCTAACAGAAACAGAAGAAATTAAGAAGAGGTGGCAAGAATACACAGAACTATACAAAAAAAGATCTTAATGAGCTGGATAGCCACAATGGTGTGATCACTTACCTAGAGCCAGACTTCCTGCAGTGGGAAGTCAAGTGGGCCTTAGGAAGCATCACTGCGAACAAAGCTAGTGGAGGTGATGGAATTCCAGTTGAGCTATCTCAGATTCTGAAAGATGATGCTGTGAAAGTGCAAATTTGGAAAACTCAGCAGTGGCCACAGAACTGGAAAAGTTCTGTTTTCATTCCACTCCCAAAGAAAGGCAATGCCAAAGAATGTTCAAACTACCACACCAATTGCCCTCATCTCACAACGCTAGCAAAGTAATGCTCAAAATTCTCTAAGCCAGGCTTTAACAGTACATGAACCAAGAACTTCCAAATGTTCAAGCTGGATTTAGAAAAGGCAGAGGAGCCATAGATCAAATGGCCAACATCTGTTGGATCATTGAAAAAGCAAAAGAGTTTCAGAGAAACATCTACTTTGCTTTATTGACTGTGTCAAACCCTTTGACTATGTGGATCACAACAAACTGTGGAAAATTCTTTAAGAGATGGGAATACCAGTCTACGGCCATACCACCCTGAACATGCCTGATCTTGTCTGATCTCGGAAGCTAAGCAGGGTCGGGCCTGGTTAGTACTTGGATGGGAGATGGGAATACTGGACCACCTTACCTGCCTCCTGAGAAATCTATGCAGGTCAAGAAGCAACAGTTAGAACCAAACATGGAACAATGGACTGGTTCCAAATTGGGAAAGGAACTACGTCAAGGCTGTATATTTTTACCCTGTTTATTTAACTTACATGCAGAGTAAATCTTGTGAAATGCCAGGCTGGATGAAGCACAAGCTGGAATTCAGATTGCCAGGAGAAATATCAATAACCTCAAATGACACCACCCTTATGGCAGAAAGTGAAGAGGAATTAGAGAGCCTCTTGAGGAAAGTGAAAGAGGAGAGTGGAAATCTGGCTTAAAACTCAGCATTCAAAAAATGAAGATCATGACATCTGGTCCCATCACTTTGTGGCAAATAGATGGGGAAACAGAGACTTATTTTCTTGGGCTCCGAAGTTACTGCAGATGGTGACTGCAGCTATGAAATTAAAAGACGCTTGCTCCTTGGAAGAAAAGCTATGACCAACCTAGACAGCTTATTAAAAAGCAGAGACATAACTTTGCAAACAGAGGCCCATCTAATCAAAGCTACTGTTTTTCCATTAGTCATGTATGGATGTGAGAGTTGGACCATAAAGAAAGCTGAGTGCCTAAGAATTGAAGCTTTTGAACTGTGGTGCTGGAGAAGACCCTTGTGAGTCCCTGGGACAGCAAGGAGATAAAACCAGTCAATTCTAAAGGAAATTAGTCCTGAACATACATCGGGAGGACTGTTGCTGAAGCTTGAAGCCCCAATACTTTGGCCACCTGATTTGAAGAACTGACTCATTTTAAAAGACCCTGCTGCTGAGAAAGATTGAAGGCAGGAGGAGAAGGGGACAAAACAGGATGAGATGGTTGGATGGCATCACCGACTTGATGGACATGAGTTTGAGCAAGCTCTGGGAGTTAGTGATGGACAGGGAAGCCTGGAGTACTGCAGTTGATGAGGTCGCAGAGAGTCAGACATGACGGAGTGACTCAACTGAGGGTGAATTTTTTTTTTTTTCCCTGAGGGTGAATTTAACTCCCCTGCTAAAGCTCATATTCTGCAACTAAAATTTTGATAGTTAAGAGAAGTTTTGTAGGTCTCTTCAGAATTAGCTTGGCTTCATGAGAGTGTGCTTTTTTACATTTGTGGAAGAGATGAGAGAGTGAATAGCTTTTAGGCTTTAATCAGAAGTGGACACGTTCAGTTGAAAGTGAAAGTCACTCAGTTGTGTCTGACTCTTTGCGACCCCATGGACTATATAGTTCATGGAATTCTCCAGGCCAGAATCCTGGAGTGGGTAGCCTTTCCCTTCTCCAGGGGATCTTCTCAACCCAGGGATCGAACCTAGGTCTCCCGCATTGCAGGCAGATTCTTTACCAGCTGAGCCACCGAGGGAGGGAGTAATTGCTTTTCCAGGAATCCAAAGATAATCACCATAGAGAGGAACAGGCCCTGGCTCTCCAGTTACTTCCATCTGTAAGAAGAGAGAAAACGATAAGCACCTTAAATGGTTATTATTAGAAACACATAACAAAACAGTATAAGTTACTTTACAAGTTTCTAGGAAATGTTAGAACTTCTTAGCATTGTTGAAGGTGGGATTGTATAAGCTGGATATTCCTCATAACTATAGTAAAGTGTATATATTTTTAGGTTAATTTTTAAAGTTATGAATATGATGTCTGTTATAGAAAATGCTTTTATAAGTACAGAATAATGTAGAATTAGATTGTATCTTGTATAATCGTTATTTGTGTTTTTACTCCAATCTTTTTTTTAAAGCACAGATTACATACATTTATCATTTCATCTTTTTTCTGTTTAACATTTCATAAACTTTAACATTTTTCTTATATATGTTAATATTTGCATAATAGTCAGTTGTAGGCTTTACCATAACTTACTTAACTAGATGCTTGCTTGGACATTTGAACTGTCTTTTAAGTGTTTTGCTATGAGGAAAGTGAATGAGTCCGTGATGAACTCCTGTCTTTTCACATATCAGTGAGTCTTTGTTTGAGCTCTATGCATTAGATAGTTGAAATGCTTAATGAAGTGTGGTGGTCCTTCATAATGGTTGCTGTGTTTCTCTGTCATTCTTTGGATGTGTGGGTAGATTGTGTTAGATCATTTTTTTCCTCCCATTCAAATCTTGAATTTTTTTCCCTGTTAGGATACATATAATGGTCCTTTTTGGAGAGGAGTATTACTAGGTCAATGGAAAGAAGTATTTTTTTCCTTATTGGAAAGAATTATTTTTAAGGTTCTTGATAGATAGTGCTAAATCACTTTGCAGATGCTGTGCTTTTACCAGGAATATATGCGGTTGCTTGTCTTAGTGACAGCTGGAAGACAAATGCAAGAGGAAAATAGCAGAAATAAAAATCCTTAAATTCTGTGTATGAACATATAAAGGTTGAATTATTGGTTTTTTAAATGTAGACTGATTATTTGGTTCATTCCTGCTGTGTTTATTTTCCATTCTGTAAAACAGGTGATTTGATGAAGAGTGCTGCAGGAGAGTTTGCAGATGATCCCTGCTCTTCCGTGAAGCGTGGCAACATGGTTCGGGCAGCTCGGGCTTTGCTCTCTGCTGTTACCCGGCTGCTTATTTTGGCTGACATGGCAGATGTCTACAAATTACTTGTTCAGCTGAAACTTGTAAGTACAGGCCTATGTCTGTAATTTGTTCTATCACAGCGAGTCTTTTGCTGGCCATACTTAATACTTAGTTCAGCATTCCTTAGGATTTGGTTTGGTTATGAGCTTGGTTTACCTAAGTGGACCAGGAATGTTTTTAATTTCCACTTGCTCCTCTATTCCACGTGGACATGATACTGGCTGTGCTGTGGGCCTATGTTGTCTTTGCAGAAAAGGTATTGTTTTTGACTTCTTCCCTTTTTGTGGTAGTGATTAAGCATTTCTTCGTACCAGCAGAGTTCCAGAGTTGAGAAATCAAGATATGTTAAATTATATCCTTTTACATGAAAGCCAAAATAATACTGTCATTTCCTACTTCCCATAAAACTCCCATGTGGTACCTGCCCAAATGTAAATTTAAGAGGGAGTTTGGATTACTATCTGAGTAGCTGTTGAAAGGAATAAAAAATTCTAGATCTTCTTTATGTACAGACTTGTATTGTTGAGAATTTTTCTCTTGTGGGGATGTGTTTTATAGGTAGAAGATGGTATCTTGAAACTGAGGAATGCTGGCACTGAACAGGACTTGGGAATACAGTATAAAGCCCTGAAACCTGAAGTGGATAAACTGAACATTATGGCAGCCAAAAGACAACAGGTACGGTCCTGATTTGGGGATATATCTAAGTGTTTGTATTATTACCTCGTGGGAAAAATGCATTCAACCTAAGTCTTCAAAAGGTACCAATATCTCCCTCTTCTAATATAGTTCCATTAAGACATTTAGTTTATGACATGTCCTTCAGTATTGTTCCTAAAGTTAGAATTAGGTTGTATCCATATTACGCTCCTATTTTGATTCCTGTGAAAATTTTGCTTTAGGTGCCTTAGCAGTTTGCGATAGCATTTGGAGAAGTGATACGCCTTTCTTCTCTGTGTTCAAGGATGAACTTGAGTTGATGGTGAAATTTAATTCAGACTTCTAAAAAACCAGTCAAAAACATATTGGAATTCTATATCAGAAAGTACCTTGCCCTCCATATTTTGTAACTTTTAAGTATTTCTTATCATTTGTTATTAGTAGATTTTATAGTATTAGGAATTTATGTTGTGTGACATGTGGATCAGTGTTCTTATTTTTACAGCTTTTGCTCACCCTTTGGTGTTTTGCTGTTGGGATGCTTGAAGTCTTCCTGTGCCCTTTCTGTTGGATGCTGTGTGTTAGATGTGTATTCTATAGGGCGGATGCATGTGTCACCATCTGGCTCTAATAACTTCCATAGCCCTGATTAAGCTTGTGCTATTCTTATTTTTTAAAAGTCCTGAAAAGATGAATTCTTACTATTGTTAGCTGATACCTATGTTGGTTAGGATAATTTTGCACTGCAGTTTACAGAAAATCTAGCTCCTAAATTACATGAACATTGGGGGTTTATTTTCTCACTGATTAGAAGCCGCAGGATAGGTTAAGTGACTTCAGGGTTGTTAAATGTAAAGGTTTTGCAAGTATTATCAAGGTGTCTTTACATTTTTCAGCACTGCCGTCTTGAGTGTGCCTCACTGAAGAAGCTGTAGGCATGGCATTTGTCAGTGTGTCCAGTGAGGAAAGAAAAGGATGTTTCTTCCATATGTCTCTCTTAATAAGCAAATGATCTAGAAGCCTTTAACAGATTTGCCCTAATAATGAATTGTATAATGTGCCCATTCCATACTAATCATTGGAAAGAGGAAAGCAGTTAACAATATCTGACTCAGGGTAATGAAGATCTCCCTTCTTCTGTGACAGGGTAGACCTTCCTGAGAACAGGAACATTCAACAAGAGTGCTCTGACAGGCATGAGGAACGTGGGGTCGGTACTGTAAATGTCCAGTATATTACAGCTTCAGCTTTGGAGACTTAGACTTTGATTTGGTTACATTTACATTAGAATAAAAATTCTATCCCACAAGGTTGACAAGATTGAATTAAATAATGTTATGTGAAGTATTTAATATAGCACCAGATTCTTAGTAGGCCCTTAGCAGTGGGCAGTTGGTGAATAGTAGTTACTGCTCATGTTTCAAGCTATAAGATGTGATCAGTCTGAATCTGCACATACGGGGTCCTGATTTTATGTTTCCAGTACTTAATATTATACATGATAATATAGCTAGATTTGTTGTATTGCCTGAATAATTTAGTTAATGTAGGCTCAGTGCACTTTTATCATTTGTCCTTGAATTAGCTTATGTCTCTATCACATAAATCACAAGTAGTTTTTTCTTTTTGCTATAGCTGACTAATCCTTAGAAGAACTTGTTGTATGGTAGTATGGTTATTCCATGAATGTGGCAAGCTGCCGAAATTATATTCGCAATTGATTTTACTGGATTTTCTTGATATAAGGTCTCTTCTGAATATGTGAAATAAATGTTATATATAAAAAATAAAGTTTGGGGAATAGTCCTACTCTCTTGAAACCTAGTCTGATCTTGATTTATGAAGGCTTACTATTATTTGAGGAAAGTGAGAACATTTAGACTGACACTATTGCATATCTTTCAAAATGGTGGAATAAGTAAATTGATGATGTTCTTGAGATAAACACAGTAATAATCCAGAATTTTGTATGCTACTGGAGAAACTTACTGAAGAGTAATGCTACCTGAGTTTTAATTCTGTGTGCTTTGAGTCCATAAAGAGTTCCTTAATTATAATCCCGTGATATATATATAAAAAAATGCTTCCCAAATAAGATGTCATAAAAACCTTGAAGTTACTCGTTAATGTGCTGAAAGATCTTCTATAAGCCCCTCCATATGTATTTTCTGCCCTTGATCACCCTGCTCTCTGCCCCAGGAGCCTAACCTATCTTCAGGACTGCATCCAGGAGCTTCTTTGCCCTCTGGCTTCTGGTTGAGTTGGCTAGTGGTAGCATCATTAGGAGATCAGAGGACAGTAAACTGGGATTTATCCCTGCCTCCTGGTTGTCCTGGGTGGCTAAATGTCATAGCCTCTCTTGGGTTGTGTTCTCCCTCTGCCTCGTTCCCTGGTTTCAGGTAACTGCTGTCTAATTTCGTCTCTTTGGGCCCAAGTGCCCTAATAAACCGTGGTTTTTCTGTACTTCACCCCCATAACTTTTGTATTATAATCTCTAAACATCTTTAAATTACCTAGCTTGATCTTAGCATCTGTTTTCTGCTGGTATCTTGAGTGATAGATTCTAAAGTTTGTCTTGGGTTTGTAGTATATCATGGTCACTTACAGTTTTCCTTGGGTCTGAATCTTTAACCTTTAGCCTCCTACAGTAGAATTTGTTGAATAGGCTGGCTGTGGGTGCGTGTGTGCCCCCGATCATAATACGACCTTTTATAGGACCTAGGGCTTGGTGTGTATTTCTTGAAACTAATGCTTTCCTTGGGAATTAAATTGCAATTCATTTTATCCTAATGTACCAGCCTGGTGGAATCTTCACTCTCCCTTTTAGGTACTTCCCACTGGTCTTCTTTAGTTACTGGTCACAGTTTTCCACACTTTGTGTTTTCTGGCAGAGTTCCTCTACTGCTGTATGCTTAGTATCCTGGACTGTTTCACCTGTGACCTTTCCTTTTCTCCCCAGGTGTGATATGTAATAGTTCACCTCCTCATCAAGCCTTTTATCTTTGCAGGCTCCCTGGTCCAGAAAAGGGATTTCCTCACGAACAGTATTTGGATACAATGTGCATACTTGGCTGCTTTAGCTCCCCTGTACCATTTAAGCAACAGCCACCCAGTGAGGAAATGCTGAACCGTATAAGATGTATAGGAGCTCTGGAATTTACCGATTTTGTCTTTGAGGTTTTTCTGGAACATGGTGTAGGGGTGAGGATGTCGTTGAAAATAATAGTGAATAACTTTAAAAAGGTATTTACTATGCACTAAACACTGTTATAAGCACTTTGTAAGGACAAATTTGTTTAATCCTCACAAAAATAGTATAAGGTAGATCCTGTAATTGATCAGATATTAATTTTATAGATGGAGAAACTATAGTGTAGAGAGGTTAATTAATTTGGCACAGACATCCATCTAGAAGTGGTAGAGCCTGTTTTGAACCTAGGCTGTATGGCTCTAGAAGACAGGCATATTGTTTAATCTGCTACTGTAATCGCTAGTGCCTAGAACACTGTCTAGATACAATAGTGTTCAATAAAATGAGAGAAAAACCCCATTTTGCTGTACTGCAGATCCATCTGGAATGGGATTCTGTGTGTGGCCGTAATCTGTTACTTTCTTGGGCTAGAATATTATTTGCCAAGTAGAAGTTTTGAATTTCCATTAGACTGGCTGCAGACTCTTCTTTGACTGTCAGGGTGAACTAGATGGCAGGGGTTGGATCTGTCATAGCACTGATGCTGGTTTTTATGAGGAGGACTACTTCTGCCTTACATTGTCAGCTCTGCTTCCCCAGTATGCTAAAGATGGACTACTTTGGTGTTTACATTCCACCCACCCAGGTACACGAGCTTGTTGAGATAGGTTTGTTAAAAACATAGTGCTTCTTACCTAGTCTGTCAACTCTGATTTTCGTGATTATTTTTCTGAAAGCGTGAACAAATTGGTAATGGATAATATTGCCACTGTCGCTATTTCATGTGTAAATCATGTGGACTGAATGGGTTTGACCATGGACCATTTTTTAAAGTATAGTCATTTGAATCCAAGAGAAGACATCTGATCAAAAGTAACTATGGCTGCAATTTTATATTGTTAAGAGGGACTTGAGAGGAGATTGTCATTTGAATTTCCAGATCTTAGTTAGAAAGTGATCTGGATTGCTTAGAACTTAGCTTCTGTTTTTTGGTTACTTGTGTGATGGTTAGTTCAAATTATGTTGGAAGGAGTCACTTCCACTTTGTTTTGTTTGTTCCTGAGTTTGTTTGGTCACACTGGGGAATTATGAAGCCTAAAGTAGACCAAGGAACTCTATAATTTTGTATGTAATCTATTACATTGCTTAATAGCTTATTTTCCCCCATTAATCTGGATTACTTACCAGCCCTGTGTATCTTATTTTTGGCTGCATTGGATTTTAGTTGCAGCGTGTGGGATCTAGTTCCTGACCAGGGATCAGACCTGAATTAGTAGCATGGAGTCTCAGCCACTGGACCACCAGGGAAGTCCTAGCACTGTATATTTTGAAAAGAATTCTTATGATTGATCATTTTTCTTATTATAGTAAATAGTCCTGCCTTGTGATAGTGTCTGTTTTCCTATCTTTACTTAAAATCTAGTTCTTTATGCTGTGGCAGAAGCACTTCTAAAAAGAGAGAAGGTAGAACACTTTAGCAGTTAGGACAAATGATGGTGGCTGTCATTTTCGTCATAGATTAAAATACATCCTCCTTACTTGTAAAAAGAAGTCTGTCAAAGATACATTGTGTGAGGGCAAGATATTTAGAAAATGCCACACAGTACATGTGCACCAGCTGCTTTCATATACTGGTGAGCCCTAGCCCTTTGTCTTAGCTCGAGTCTTAAAATGATCATCCTCTAAGTCCATGGTGTCCTTTTTTGAGTATTGAACCTCATGTAGTCTTTGGGAAGGTAGGAGTTTATCATACCAGGCTGGGAAGTGGCTTTAGGAAAATTATGTGTTGAACAGGAATTGTGGCACCTATTATAACTTTGGGTGACCACAAAGTGTCTTTGCTAACCTTTGTAAAAGATTGTGCTGATTTAGGCTGTGGATATTTAGGAAGTATGTCAAAGTTGATTGCAAAGTGTTCTTATAAAATAGAGGATATTATAAAGGCAAATGCCTTCTTAGAAAGCCTAAAAGTCCCTGAGGTTGTGGTGAGGGAAGCCATTTAGGATATACCACACAGAACATGTGCACCAGCTGTTTAAGCATAATAGTGAGCCTCAACCCCCTGTCATAGCTTGAGTCTTGAAATGGATCATTGATATCAAAATCCACGGGGTCCTGTTTCTGAATATTTAGCCTAATGTACTGTGCTACAGGGCATTTGAAGTGCTGTGAGCTATTACTTGCAAATTCAGATTGCAAATGAGAATTCTAGCAGGAAAAGTAAGCTGTCATACTGTACAAAGTTTCAATAAAGATGCAAACCTAAAACATAGTGAGATGAAGTTTCAGACAAAAGCCAGTTTGGTGTCTCTAATGCTTAATTAGGAACTCATTTAGAAAGATGACCCATAAACAGTTAAGTCAGATTTTAAATTGAGTAATTGACTTTGGCCTTTCTAAGTCAGTTTTCTCTTACTGTTTGCACGTGTCGTACTTATTTTAAAAACATTTAAATTACACTCTAGGACTCAGTTGATGAGATTAACCTGGAAATTTTAGGATCACACATAAAATAGAGTTGAAACAGTTGGTGGTCAGTTATGGTTATCACTTACATTTTTCTCCTGTGGTGGCAAATGCACATTTACTGAAGACTTAGTTTTCTCTGAGTAATTGCAGTAACATAGGAATTCCAGAAGTACTCCCTTCCCATCTTGTTTATTGTTGGTATCACTTAGCATATTCACCCAGTTTACCAAGCAGATGCTGGTAGTTGAAACCATGTTGGGAACCTCAAATCATTTTAACTGTGGATTATAATTATGGGATAGAGGAAATTGAGAAAGGACAGTTCACCTAAGATTGCATGTCTATAGAGTATTATAGTGAAATATTAACACAAACCTTTTGGGTTAAAGTCATGGAGTCCATGGACCTCAGCTTTATGCCCTAATAATCTGGGTCCTAAGGTGGTCTTTAGGATGGGAAAGGGAAAACGAGATGTTCTGTACTTGGTAGAATAGCCTTCCACATCCTTACCTGGCTGATTTGAGTAGTTTGTGGTTTTGAGATATCTGTGGTATCATCCCAAATTTCACAAAACTCTCTCAGTGAACCTTAATAACTTAATAAAAAAGAAGTCCTCTTAATAAATTTTGCTCTGTTTTAATGTCTCTTATTTTTTGTATTTTAGTTTGTACTTGTATTCTTATATTTTGTATTTTAGATGGAAATAGGTATATCCATCTTAATAAGGTTATAATCAAGATGCTAGTTTTCATGGTTTTATTTTTTATTAGTGCTGTTCTAGATGCCTTACATGCATTGTTCCATTTAATCCTCAAGGCATTTATAAGAGAGCAAAATATTGCTCCTATTTTTACAGAAGGAGAGTATGTAGAGTTTAAATAGGATCATAATAGTAAAAACTGGAGCTGGAGATTCAAATTCAGGTCTTTGTGTTTTGGGAAAGTTTGAACTCTGAGCTACTAAGCCATACTGTGTCCTTTGTGATGAACTTTCAAGCCAAACTGTTAATGAAAATAACATCTAATTAGCAGAAATCCTAACTTTTTAGAATTCACTGACAAATTTTTATGAGTGGAACCCATATTCTTGTTTTACTTTTGTAGGAACTGAAAGATGTGGGCCATCGTGATCAGATGGCTGCAGCCAGAGGAATCCTGCAGAAAAACGTTCCAATCCTCTATACTGCATCCCAGGCATGCCTACAGCATCCTGACGTCGCAGCCTACAAGGCCAACAGAGACCTGATATACAAGCAGCTGCAACAGGCAGTCACAGGAATTTCTAATGCAGCCCAGGCCACTGCATCAGATGATGCCTCTCAGCACCAGGGTGGAGGAGGAGGAGAACTGGCATATGCCCTCAATAACTTTGATGTAAGTTATACTTGGGAGGAGACTTCAGGCTCTTGATGATCCGTCAAAGTTAACAGATTTCTGGGGAAATGTGATCAAGGTTTCTCATGAAAGCTCAATTTTGTCTTAGATTTGTAGTGTAAGTTGAAAGAAATTTTATGACCCATCAGTCAGCTTGATCTTGGCCTAGAGCTTTTATCTTTTCTTCCTCTCCCCTCCCGTCCCTCTTCCCCTTCCCTTCTCTTTTCTTTTTTAGTTTTAGTTAAACTTCTGAATTTTTTTTAATACAACTTGTGTTTCCTTAAGAGGTCATTCTTTAGATATGAATTCTATTCATTTCAACCAAGATTTTAACCTGGGAGATGTGAACATATGGACGATACAGAGGCAAAGTGCACTTAGATTGTATGCTCCAGGTACTCACAGTCTAGTGAAAGTTACAGACACATCATAAATGACTACAGCAAAAGTGCTGTCATCTTAATCTTATTTGCCTAGACACACTTCTCAATAACTAAATTGTAATAAAGACAACATTTAATCAAGTGGGAGCAAATTTAGGATTAAAATACTTTGTTAGCATAATGCCATATAATCACTTTTTATAAATGATGCCCCAGTTATGTTCTGTGTATATATTCTGTGCACACACTATCCTATGTGTCAACTTGAATCATAATTTTTTGGGATGTATTTTATGGTTTTAAGTTTCTACCCACAATGCCTCATGGCTTCCAGTAGATGGCAGCAGTTCAAGATTTCTTTAAGTTTTTTTTTTTTGAACCAACTGTTAATGTTTTAAAAAATATTAGCATAAGAGAAAATTACCTTCCAGGTGACAAGCATCCTTTCGTAAGTAGGAATGCTTTGAAGTATAGAGTGAATATAATAGAGTGCATTTTAACAGTTTTTCTTGATTTTTCTTTCCTTTGTCTCACCTCTTTGGCTTGGGTAAAGACAGTGTTAAGCCAAAAGTCTGTGATGTTAGAACTGAATTTTGACCCTGGAACCTTAAACATTAAATGACTTAGAGCAAATTCTTAAGATATATCTTACAATTAACTGGCACTGTTGTTTTTTCCCTTCAAATTTGATACTATTAGCTACTGGCCTCATTCAAGGCAGTAAGGGTTACATTTTGCCCTAAGTTGAGTAGTATCTATTAGAGGCCACTTAACCTCTTCAGGGTACAGTGAAACTTCATTCATAAAATGAGGGGGTTGGACTAAATGCTTATAAGTCTGTTGAAGTTCTGTGACTGTTAAAATCCTGTGACCATTCCTTCCTCCTTCCTATTGGTCATTGTGAAGAAGGCATTGTGTATTCAGTTTTGACCAGAGAAATAACTGCAGTATCTTAGTCTGGTAAGAAAAACAATCAGCTATAATGTAGGTTAATAATAAACCGAAGGAATCGTATGTTCATTTTTGAAATGGATGGTTTTGGGGAAGAGAAAGAAGAAATGTGTACTTATTGGAAAAGGGCAGGCTTTTTTTAGGGGGGAAAAAACTTGGCATTTAAATTGAAATCAATAAGAACATAGTCCCTATAAAGAAAAATAAAGGCAAAATATTTGTACAGACATTTATTGGTGTGAGGATGAATTGTATCAAGTGGAAAGTCTATGGAAGGCCAGTAGATCCTGTCCTGTGGCTGCTGATGTTAGACCTTGTACCTGTAGCTTACTTGTGACCTGACTTTATTCATCAGTGGTAAATCTAGATTTGAGTGGAGTCGGGGGAGTAAAGGGGAGACAGAGGAAGGATTTATTCTTTTGGGGGTAATTGTGTCTTAGAGAGTGGCTTTGTTGGGACATATTGCTGTCATCTCTTACAGAATATCTGAAGGTTTTTGAGGTAATAAAGTCTCTAATTTGGAATTAGCAGAATAAATTTGAGACTGAATCATTTATAAACTTTGAAATGTTTAAGGTGAGGACAGTTGAAACTGATTATAAATGACTTTTCTGAAACCTTGATGACAGAAGTCAGCGCTTTGTTTTTATTTTTTGTGTGTGTGGCGAAACAGTTCTGTTATTGTCATGTAACAGTTTTACACTCTGTACATAGGAAAGGAAAAGAGTGCTGATGTTTATGTTTCTTGTAATTCTCATTTGGTTACTTACTATTATGATATATGTTAACCTTTAGATATTCAGATTAAGTAGCATGAACATGATTTTTATGCTGACATAGTTCTGTTTGCATTTGAGATATCATACCTTATTCAGACCCCTTCAGCTTGATAGTATTGCTTCCAGTGCCTTCTTTAAGAAGTAATCCACCATCAGCCAACTTGTGTGGGATGCCCCTCATCTGCCAAGTATAACTTGGTTTCAGGCATTGAAATTTTTTGTGTTATATATTGGTGTTTCTAAACAGCATTTTCCTCACCTTCTTGAATATTGGAGAAAATAGAGATTACACTAATAGTCACTAATGCTTCCTTTGCAGAAACAAATCATTGTGGACCCCTTGAGCTTCAGCGAGGAGCGCTTTAGGCCTTCCCTGGAGGAGCGCCTGGAGAGCATCATTAGTGGGGCTGCCCTGATGGCTGATTCATCCTGCACACGTGATGACCGGCGTGAGAGAATCGTGGCAGAGTGTAATGCTGTCCGCCAGGCCTTGCAGGACCTGCTCTCGGAGTACATGGGCAATGTGAGTAAGAAGAATTTTCCCTGACAGGTGTTGGTTCTGAGGTGTTTTTCAAAACATTCTTTGAAGTAACAAGAGTTTTCTGTAATAATTGTTGGGTCTGAGGTGTTTTAACTGCAAGTGTCCAATATGTTTTTAGCTTCTTGACTTTTGGGTGGAGTAAAATTTTTCAAGGAATGGATAGATAGCTTACTGTGTATCCCCTTTCTCAACTTTTTAGTGTTTAAAATTTTAAGCTTATAGAAATCATACAGTAAACCCTTTATCTAGTTCACCAATTAACAGATAAATATGTTTTGTGTATAAATATATGTGTGTGTGTGTGTGTGTATGTACGTATATGCAACCCTTTTTTATATGAAACATTTGAAAGTAACTTGCAGAAATTGTATTTCTTCACCTCTGTCTACATAATTCAGCTTGTGTCTACATATTTCAGCTTGTGTCTACATGGATAGTAACCTTCAACACCCATAAAATTCTTTTACCACATCTAGGTGACCATATAATTTTGAGCAAAAGGGAATATTGAAAATATTTATAATAGATGAAGTTTCTTGAATGAACTGTATATACAATGTGATAAGACTAGATTTTTGCCAAGCAGAGCAAAGTCGGACACGACTGAGCAACTGAACTGAACAGTTGTGTTAGGTGAAGTGAGTAGTGTTTTTGAACTTTTAAGATTTGTGTTTGAAAACCAATGCTGTGAAATTTAACACCTTTCTTTTTGCCGTAGAAAATAACCGTACTTGTTTTCTCTATTGGTAATGTCTTTTTTACTTCCTTAATACTTTTCCATTTCAATTATTTAATGCTGGTTTAGGGTTACTATAGTTTAGATCTTGTACCCAGTCTTTTACTCTGGCAAAGAAGGAATAAATTAAATAAAAATTATAGAGAATCATTTTAAAGGGAAGAAGGACAATGCGAATTAGTTTTAGTGATTTTTGTCTACTTAATAGTTTTTGTGAAAAGATGTTTGGTACTTTCTCATGTTCTTGTGCCATACATCTTGTTTGTTCATTTTATTCTTATATAAGTGAACATATAGTGGTGGGTCATGATGGAATTCCTGGGGTGAAGATAAATGGCTTCCTGTGTTTATCTTGTTTCTACCATATTGTGAAATTAGTCAAGCATGTTGAATTTTTTTAAGCCATTGCCATGTTTTGATCATATGCAGTTTACCTCAGAAAAATGAGATTAGAGGCTTAGTTAAATCAGATGGAAAAGGCAGTTGATAAGTCAACAGTGAAAATGTGGGACACATTTAAAAACCCATATGTAAGCCTGGAAATCAGAAAATGTAAAAAATGACTAATTTGAAGACTAACTCATGATATTGGAGTCTTAAAGAGGGAAACAAGGGCCTCCTGGCATGTATGTGAATCAGTTCCCTGCTATCATGTCCAGTGCTGAAGTGATGTGAAAGTGTCTAATAGTTATGATTGGGAAGGCACTTTAAAAACAGCCTTTGTAGGGGAGAGTATGTGATAAATCTGTTCTCGTTGCTCCATACCAGAGCTTCCTAACCAATCTAAAAAAATATTCCTTCAGTCTTAGATTTGGTCAGGTCTTGGGCTAGTCACCTCTGGCTGTGAGTCACCTCTTGGATTCTCCCCAGGATGGCAGACATTTAAATAGTACTTTCTATTTTGTGCCATGGATGTAAGTAAAAGCGGGAAATATTCATTTATACTGAAGATATGGGGACCATAACAGCCATCTTACATAACATCTTACTATGTAAGTGAAAGCTAGAACAGTGATTGATGTTGGGCAGAATTTAAAGGATTATGATGGGGCTTTTGAAGGGAATTATGTCAAGATTCAGAAGTATATTTTAGAAAAAAATTTCTGAGCATGTTTCTCCTAAAGATAAAAACATTTAATAGTTTGCTTGAATTGACTCACATAACAGTGATCAGGCTGTGTCCTGTCCAGAAGTATTGGAGTGAGGATAAAGTGGGAGGGCAGTGAAGCACATTTGAAGAAACCTTAGGGTAAAAGGTAGGAAGTCAAGAAACACCTGGAGTAACAGGCAAATTTGGCCTTGGAGTATGGAATGAAGCAGGGCAAAGGCTAATAGAGTTTTGCCTAGAGAACGCACTGGTCATAGCAAACACCCTCTTCCAACAACATAAGAGAAGACTCTACACATAGACATCACCAGAAGGTCAACACCGAAATCAGATTGATTCTATTCTTTGCAGCCAAAGATGGAGAAGCTCTATACAGTCAGCAAAAACAAGACCGGGAGCTGACTGTGGCTCAGATCATGAACTCCTTATTGCCAAATTCAGACTTAAATTGAAGAAAGTGGGGAAAACCACTAGACCATTCCCATATGACCTAAATCAAATCCTTTATGAAAAGTGAGAAATAGATTTAAAGGACTAGATCTGATAGAGTGCCTGGTGAACTATGGACGGAGGTTCATGACATTGTACAGGAGACAGGGATCAAGACCATCCCCATGGAAAAGAAATGTAAAAAGGCAAAATGGTTGTCTGAGGAGGCCTTACAAATAGCTGTGCAAAGAAGAGGAGTGAAAAGCAAAGGAGAAAAGGAAAGATATTCCCATTTGAATGTGGAGTTCCAAAGAATAGTAAGGAGAGAGAAGAAAGTCTTCCTCAGTGATCAATGCAAAGAAATAGAGGAAAACAACAGAATGGAAAGGAAAACAACAGAAAGACTAGATCTCAAGAAAATTAGAGATACCAAAGGAACTTTTCATGCAAAAATGGGTTCGATAAAGGACAGAAATGGTATGGACCTAACAGAAGCAGAAAATACTAAGAAGAGTGGCAAGAATACACAGAAGAACTGTACTAAAAAGATCTTCACGACCCAGATAGTCATGATGGTGTGATCACTCACCTAAAACCAGATATCCTGGAATGTGAAGTCAAGGGGGCCTTAGAAAGCATCACTACAAACAAAGTTAGTGGAGGTGATGGGATTCCAGTTGAGCTATTTCAAATCCTGAAAGATGATGCTGTGAAAGTGCTGTACTCAATATGCCAGCAAATTTGGAAAACCCAGCAGTGGCCACAGGACTGGAAAAGGTCAGTTTTCATTCCAATCCCAAAGAAAGGCAATCCCAAAGAATGCTCAAACTGCCACACAATTGCACTCATCTTACACTCTAATAAAGTAATGCTCAAAATTCTCCAAGCCAGGCTTCAGCAATACGTGAGCAGTGAACTTCCAGATATTCAAGCTGGTTTTAGAAAAGGCAGAGGAACCAGAGATCAAATTGCTAATATCTGCTGGATCATCGAAAAAGCAAGAGAATTACAGAAAAACATCTATATCTGTTTTATTGACTATGCCAAAGCCTTTGACTGTGTGGATCATAATAAACTGTGGAAAATTCTGAAAAATGGGAATACCAGACCACCTGACCTGCCTCTTGAGAAACCTGTATGCAGGTCAGGAAGCAACAGTTAGAACTGGACATGGAACAACAGGCTGGTTCCAAATAGGAAAAGGAGTACGTCAAGGCTGCATATTGTCACCCTGCTTATTTAACTTACATGCAGAGTACATCATGAGAAACGCTGGGCTGGAAGAAGCAGAAGCTGGAATCAAGATTGCCGGGAGAAATATCAATAACCTCAGATATGCATATGACACCACCCTTATGGCAGAAAGTGAAGAGAAGCCTTCACTTCAGAAAGTGAACTAAAAAGCCTCTTGATGAAAGTGAAAGAGGAGAGTAAAAAAGTTGGCTTAAAGCTCAACATTCAGAAAACTAAGATCATGGCATCCGGTCCCATCACTTCATGGGAAATAGATGTGGGAAACAGTGGAAACAGTGTCAGACTTTATTTTTTTGGGCTCCAAAATCACTGCAGATGGTGATTGCAGCCATGAAATTAAAAGACACTTCCTCCTTGGAAGGAAAGTTATGACCAACCTAGACAGCATATTAAAAAGCAGAGACATTACTTTCCCAACAAAGGTCCGTCTGGTCAAGGCTGTGGTTTTTCCAGTGGTCACGTATGGATGTGAGAGTTGGACTGTGAAGAAAGCTGAGCGTTGAAAAGTTGATGCATTTGAACTGTGGTGTGGGAGAAGACTCTTGAGAGTCCCTTGGACTGCAAGGAGATCCAACCAGTCCATCCTAAAGGAGATCAGTCCTGGGTGTTCATTGGAAGGACTGATGCTGAAGCTGAAACTCCAATACTTTGGCCACCTGATGCGAAGAGTTGACTCATTGGAAAAGACCCTGATGCTGGGAGGGATTGGGGGTAGGAGGAGAAGAGGATGACAGAGGAGGAGATGGCTGGATGGCATCACCGACTCAATGGACATGAGTTTGAGTAAACTCCGGGAGCTGGTGATGGACAGGGAGCCCTGGCGTGCTGCGATTAATGGGGTCACAAAGAGTTGGACACGACTGAGCGAGTGAACTGAACTAGGGTAAAAGGATCTGCAAGAAGCAGAATCAGCTGGGGATAGGGTTTGCTTATTCATGAAGCATTCAAAAACCTCCAGTGATAGTCAGAACTTACCTGGCAGTATCTTCTTGTCACGCAGTTCATATTATGTGTAATCTGCAGAGTAGTGTGCTGGGCACTGTTTAAGGGGAGGAATGAGGCACTGATCCTTCCCTTCGGAAACGTACAGCATCTCTACAGTCCCATTTTTTGGGAGTGCCATCATAGGTTTTACTAAAATACCATGGGAATTGCAAGGAGGATGAGTTTATTTCTAGCTGGGAAACCTGAGGCAATTTATCAAGTATTTATTTTATGGTCTTTGCATTGAGCTCTACCTTGATTTTTAAAAAATGGTTCACTTTAGGTTTTGATTAGTTCTTTTGAAAAGTATTAGATGAGTTATTATGGTATATGGAGAATTGGGACAGTTTGTATTAATTAAAACTGGTTTAGTACATAGAACTTGATGGAATGGTAGAAATCCAGAAAGGCTCATGTAGTTTTACTTTTTCCTCTTGTTGAATTCTCCCAGTCATGTCATTATTTTTATAG